TGGTTTTCTCCTTGAGAAATAGGAATATTTAAAGTGGTTGACGAAGGCACCTATGATACGGTCTCCTACATAAGAATTGTATCTCACAGACTCCTTGTACTTCGGTGTACTCCCGGAGTCCAGAGAGTACAATGGAACTACGGGAGTACAGCGGAGTACATGGAGTACGGGAGTACGTGATTTCTCCCTTGCTTTCACGTTACAGTGTTAAAGTGTTAAAGTATGTTACTTTAACTTTGGCTTTAACGTTAAAGTTAAAGTTAAACTCCCACCCCTATGTTGGACTCCCTGTACTCCCATGTACTCCCGGAGTCCAGGGAGTACAATGGGAGTACGGGAGTACAATGGGAGTATGGGAGTACGGGAGTACAATGGGAGTACGGGAGTCCGGGAGTACGTGTTTTCCCCCTTGAATATATTCCAACGGATCTGAAATTCCTCAAATGTAAGCTTATCGTATGGTAGAATTGAAATTCGAGCAATTTCAAGAGCTTTTCCCATGTACTCCTAAGCAGCAGTCTTGTCATTTTCTTTTTCATATATTTTCGATAACAAGAGATATGTATGCGCCAAACTTTCATGATTTTTCGGGAGTATTTTTAATTGATTTTCTAGTGCTTCCTTTGTTATTTTCAATGATTTGATATTATTGCCCAATTCTAATTCCATCGCTCCAATATTTAATTGTAATTTGAATAAAGCGACATGATTTTCACCAGCTTGTGTGTGTAAAAGTATTCTTAAAGCTGTTTCTGAATGATATACAGCTCTAAGTAGTTCATGCATTTCATGATATACTGAACTGATATTATTATGTGTAACGACTAATGATTCATGATTGGTACCAAAATTTTGAGTATCAATTTCAAGTGCTTTCTTGAATAATTCTAATGCTTTCTTCAGCTCTCGTTTTCTTTGATACACAAGGCCCAGATTTGAATAAATTGCAGCAAGATCTGTATGTGTAGAAACAGTACCTTTGAGACGAATATCTAATGCATGATGTAAATATTTTAAAGCATTTTCATTATCACCCAATTGTGCATATATTTCACCGATATTATTATACATAGTTGCCAGTACAGGATTATACTGATTTGTTTTTTAATATTTGTTCTTCAATGTGTAATGTTTTTTGAAAATATTCTAAAGCTAATTGTGCGTTACCTTTGTCTCGATATAATAGGGCAATTTGATTGTATGTATATGAAAGTGATTCAGGTGATGTCTGAATCTCAGTGGCCATAGTAAAATATTTCAAAGCTAAATCAAGATCACCAAGGTGATGATACGCTGTACCCATGTCACCATATTCTCGACCGATATTTTCCTGTTCATTATAAATACTCGATTTATTCAAGTATTCTAGAGCTTTTTCATGGTATTTTAATGACGTCTGATGGTCTCCTTTATCGCGAGCAACCATTCCCAAAGACGAGTAAACGCGATGCGTATTCGGATGACCTTCAGGCATATATTTCAGTAACATGCGAAAATAGCGTTCAGCTCTCTGATAATCGCCCATTGCTCTTAGAGCGATCCCTAGACTGCATAAATCACTCTCATCACAGTATGTCTTATCTAATTCATTTCGAAGTTCACTGATATCACTATCATCTTCAACCAATTTTAGTCTTACATGCCAATATCCATTGATTGTTCGCTTATCCTCAATAGATTCAATACGAAACATCGATCCAACCGAAAACACAACTTCAGATTCATCAGAAAATGTAGTCGAAGCGTTGAGTGAAGCAAATGGTCTTTCGCTTGTCGAATGAGTAATGTCCACGTCGATTTCAAATACAACAGATAATACATCCAGATCTGGGCATGTACCAAAGCCAGAAAACATTTCCGCAACACTTATATCTTTGGGTGTGGGTGGGTGTGGGTGTGGCTGTGGGTGTGGCTGTGTGGGTGTGGGTGGGTGTGGGTGTGGGTGGTGTGGGTGTGGGCAAGGGGGAAATAGCGTACTCCAGGACTCCAGGACTCCATTGGACTCCATTGGACTCCATTGGACTCCATTGGACTCCATTGGACTCCAATGGACTCCAGTCTTGTCTGAAGTCCAGCAATCCAAGCTATGATAAAATCTGCTGCTTATTGCCTTCAGCTATCGGAAATAAAAAACAGACTATGCATTAACTGTCGATTAAAAATTTCCTTTTTTTACCATCACAATCTTTTGTAAATGCTTCATAGCGTCTGATAAAGTGTAAAAATATGAAAAAAAATATAAATATGAAAACAATTAACGAATGACAAATTTTTAAAAATAATAAGAAAATTGTAAAGTTAAAAAAATCCAGCTTCATAAGAAGACTATACTGTATGATATACTATGAAAGAAGTAAAACGAGAAGTATAAACAGGAAAATGTTCCTAAGGTAAATATTATTGTCTTCTCGTTCTTTTTACAACTTCTTTCGTATTATAAGATGATTCTACTGAATGAAGCTTTCTTTTCGCTCTACTTTTACTTTTTAATAATGGCGAAGGTTGTTCAAGACTTTCATGATCATCGGTTGTTATAGAGGTAGACGTAGAATTAAGTAATATCGCATTTGATGATGATTCGTGATCTGGTGTAGTATCTGATGATGATTCGTAATCTGGTGCAGTATCTGATGATGTAAATGATTGTTGATTATCTGATGATGATTCTTGATCTGGTAAAGTATCTGAACATGTAAAAGATTGTTGATTATCTGCAGTTATTGATGAAATCAGCTTACAATTTTTTATTAATTCTTTCATTTTATCACATGTATTATTATTACGAAAATCTTGTAAATGCCTGTAAAAGTTTGATAGTTGAAATTTGCCACGATTATTTGTTAATGATATCCATTTGTTACAACAACATTTTATATTAGCTTTTAATACACCACTTGCATCATTTAATATGGAAATAGAGTAATGTTGACCTTCAATCAAGGACAAATTTGACAAATTAAGTCTTGATTCATTATTTTTACACCAATTGTTCAATGTATTATTTATATAAGTTTTATGTTCATCGAGTGATAAGTTTAAAGATTTTGATGTGACAATGTTTGATGAATTACTCGATAAAACCGCCATTGTTGATTCTGTGGTAGTTGAGGATGTGTTTATGGTTCTATCTAATGGTGGTGATGATTGATTACGTTTTGAAGATTTTGTTAACTTTGCATCATCAGTACATTTTTGTTTTAATAAATCAATAAGATAGTCCACATTTCCTTTTATACCAGGTTTTATAATGAATATATCATCATCAAGCATAAAACCATGCTTATTTTTAAAACAATCTAAAGCTTTGCTTTTCAAATTCATAATACAATAAACATCAGCTGTCATCAACAAAGATTTAACACAATTGATACTTTGAATTTCAAAAAGATCAACAGCAGCATCACCAGCTTCTTTTCGAACAAAATCAAAAAATTTAACGTCACGTAATGACATGATATCAGATGGCAAAATTGATGTATCAATAAGAGCTTCTGTTTGAAACATATTTAAATATTAACTATATTTGTATAAATAAAATTCTCTCTCGAGAGAGAGAGAGCAAGCGAGAAAGGTTTAATGATTCATGAATATTATGAGCCAATAGCTTCTAAAGTGATGTTCTCTATACAAGCGTAACTAGTACTTTTCAATTTTTTGTAACATTCCATTCTTTCAAATGATGGATGTTTTCTTCAGATTACCGATATGTGACTCATCACAGTTGTTTATCAGCTGGAAGTGTTTGAAAAATATGTCAGATTTTTGTTTCCAAACTTATTATAAACTATTATGTCTGAACACATTTGGTTTTCTAGATAAAAAATCGATCGTTTTCTTCTTATGGATGATAGATTGCCAGAGAATGTTTTTTCTTTAAAGAACGATGATTTTTATGAATTTATTCAAGTATTAGTTGGACAACAAATGGTGGATATTCTAAAATTCCAATCAATTACATCTACACAATCTCTTATTCGAAACCCGAATATCTTTGAAATATTTAATATGAATTGTTCGGAATCTAGTTTCTTAATGATAAGAGAAAGATCATGTTTTCAACTTGATAATGGAACATTTATTGTGAAGATTGGGTTAATAAATAATTTGAATTGTTTATTAGAATTTTTAAAGCAACAGCAACAAAAACAAATTAAAACAAGTAGTAATGCAGATTCTAATCCCAGTTTATCATTTGATTTTATAAATAAATATCCATTGTTAAAAAAATTAATTATTTGGTATCAACGAGTTAGCAATGAAAATGAAGCTGATGAAAATAAAGATAAATTTTTAAACCATTTTATTGATACTATCACTGATAATTTGACAAAATCGAAAAATAATTTTCGATATAGTAATTCGATTAAGAATTTTGCTTTATCGTTGTATATTTTAGGTGGTAAATTGACCTATGAATTTCTTAGATTAAATTTACCTGGATCTTTACCACATCTATCTTTATTAAATTCATTGATTTCAAGTTCAGATTCAAGAATCAGTGAAGGAGAATTTAGATTCGATCAACTTCAAAAACATTTTGATAGTCTTAATGTGCAATATGCATTCGGCTCTGAAGATTGTACTGGTATAGTTAAAAGAATTAAATATGATTCAACAACAAATACATTTACTGGATTTCCTTCATTACTTGATCGTGGAGTGCCAATTAAATCATATTATCAGACTGACTCATTTGATGCATTAAAATTATGGTTCAATTCAATTGATAAAGCATCGTTATTGAATGTACATATGATTCAGCCAGTGCAATCCACAGATAATAGCAGCATACCAAGTCCTTATCTATTATCAGCATATGGAATTGACAATACTGCAACCGCGAACGATATATTACAGAGATGGTGGTATATATTTAATCAATCCTTACAAAGAAATATCAGAATCATTGGTTTTTCTACTGGTGAGACAATTTTTTTTTCAAATTTTATTAAAGAATAACTGCGTTTTTTTATAGACGCGGATCCAAAATATCTACGTGCTATGCGTTTAATGAGCGGTTTTCTTGGAGCTCTTCCGAATTTTCAAGTTCACCAGCACCCACAAGCATTTCAAATAAAAATAAGATCACACTGGTCTTGGTTTTATCTTCGTGAACAACAATTATTATTATTTTTTCAAGATCCGACACATTTGGTAACCAAATGGCGTAATCGTTTATTATCAGCAACAGCAGAATTATGTCTCGGAAATCAGTCAATATCGATCAATCATTTGCATGATATTATTGAAAATGATACTTATTCTAAACTTGATCATGGTCTAACAAAATCTGACATTAACCCTAAAGATCGTCAAAACTTTAGTTCTTGTTTGAAATTAACATCTAATGATCTATTCAATATTTTAAATGCTACTGCTGATACTCGTGGAACCTTGCTTTATTTTCAAGTGTTAAAAATGATTATAGTAGCTTATATTGAAAAAACAACAACAATAGTTGAAAGTGAGTACTTATACACGCTAGATCACATATAATAAGATTTTATTGTAGGACTACGATCTGCTTGGTGTGTAGTGTTTTTTTGTCGACTATGGTTTACCTGGATTAAATTTAAAACATTTAATTTAACACAAACCAGAAACAATAATAAAAGCAGATATTTTATTACACAACCAGCATATTTATCGGTTGAAATAAATGCTCATAATTTATTATATTTAATTTTACTTGTCAAACAAAAGCAGTTACCACCACAAGCATTGAATATTCCTATTTTTAACTCGCAAGCTTGTGAATCAATTTTTAGAAATACACGAGCGTTAAGTGGAATTTATTCAACCATAGTCAACTTTACAGTACATGATTTTCTACGACGTGCCCAAAGATTATCATTATTGAATGACATTAAATGTAAACAGTTACATAGTGGTTCAGTTGACAAGTTAGTCTTTCCGGTTCATTATAAACATCGGGTTGAACGTCAATCATCATTTACACACAGTCAACTTGAAATTGATGAAATAGACATCGAACGAGTTATTACTGATGCCTATCATCATGCTGTTGATATGCTTGAAGGTCTAGATATATTGAACTTATTGGAAAAAAAACATGTTCTTGGATTAAAACCATTAAGTGAATATTTATTTCGACAATTAAATTCCAATTCACAAAAACATAATTACTCTTCTCAAATAAGCAATATAGACGATGAAGTATTTGAAAGTGACGATGATAATGATGAAGATGGAGATGACACAACAAATGATCTCAGCATGAATGAGGACAATGATGATAGCTCTATTAACAACGATTACACTGATGAAGATGAACAAAATAACACTCAAGATTTAATAAATACTACAAAGAAAGACTTCTCTGGAGTAAAAGTTGCTGATAAAGTGGAGCCTCATATTGAACATACCTATTTTAAAGTGAAATTAAATCATGATACAAAATTTTTACACAAACAAACTGCTTGTTGGTTGTTAACAGAAGAGAAAAGTAAACTTTCAAATGACCGATTACTTCGCGTGCAACAGGTCAATAAATGATAATATAAATGGTTTTTTCTTTTTTTTTATAGTATTTGTTTGATTTTTTTCAATAAAGGGTATATTTTGTTGAATTTAAAATTTTTTTATTCATTGAAGGTGTTGTATATGGGTGGTGCACAGATACTGTGCGAACATCTCAAAAGTGGAGCCAGTATAAGTTTAATTCTATGTAACAGGTGATGAAAAGTAAAACCAATATACAGCAGTATTACATGTCTATAATATACTTGTGAAGTGCTCTCCAGAATTTCAAACGACTCCACTGGACTCCATTGGACTCCATTGGACTCCATTGGACTCCATTGGACTCC